TGCACATAAAAAAGAAATCTATACGCGCTTTATATATTCGGAGAGCACTGATATATGCGCAAATTTAAATCTATGTGCGCTGCGTCTACTGCGCGGATCCAATTTACATCACTGCTCATGTCTGTATTATATTTTAACAGTATTGTGCCGTCATCTGCAGAGCATTATGACAACTATATTATTGCAAATAATTGTCAACCTTATTTTTTTACTCTGAAATAATTGGTGCTTATCTACAAAACTGAATTTAAATGATTTGGCGCCAAATATCTTATAAGTATCTAAAACCAGTTAAAGACCTTCCCTATTTGTTTCAGTCAAAGATGCAACTTACCTGCTTAATACCGGATTATGACAAAGAAATAAAATAAAGCTTCTTCTAAGGTAACCCCCCATAGTAGTACTAACGATAATTCTAATTTTGTCATAAATTCTCGTTTCAAACGCTTCTATTAAATACAGCGCTTGATAAGCTAAAATGATTTTATATTTCGATATAAAAACCGTGCCTCTACTAAACGAAGAATCGTTTGGCAATCTAATTTTGACAATTTAAAAATTGACAATATTACTACGTATTTCACAAACCAAATTCCTTGTGACCAAATTTTAAGTCTGATTACACAGTTGACATGCTTCTTTGGTACGTACGTACGTACGCACATACGTACGTACATACGTGTATGTGTATATTTTTAGTCTTCATTAATACTAAATAATTTTAAACTTATTTATTTGTGATTGCTAATCACGATAAAGTGATGATAAATTGATAATCAGATGTCTCAACACTAACGCTAATCTAGTTTATCTTTAATACTAGCCGGTTAAATTTACTAATATATACCTTATATCGATACAGATATAGTTCAAATTAATCTAAAAAAAGAAAATTAGAATCGGAATTCAGATTAATTTTGATCGAACCAAATCAAAGATTTATATTACTAAATTTGGTTTTGGCATTGTTTCTTTAAAAGGAAAACTCAATCAGCGTTCAATTATTTTGAACCTAAACACGTGCAGAAGAATTCCTGAAAATTTAATGTTTAAATTGATCCTGGTTCACCAATTAAATGAAATTTACATAGAGTAAGAATAAGTAATGATTTATTTCTATATTTTAACATTAACACCTTAACCTTAAATTTTATCTTCATACACTTTATTTTTATATGAAATTTCCTTTAGGGGTTAGAGAGTGGAATCTAGAGATATATCACGCGAATTAAATCTAGCATACATTCCACAAATCATATGAAATAGTGAGAAGTGTGGATTGACTTCATCCAAGGCCAAGGATTATAGATTTCAGTGATAGCTCTAATCTTTTTTTGTACTTGATAAAATCATTAACCGCTAGGATTTTCTTAGATAAAAATTTGCTTCGCGCGAGATATGAGGTTATATGATGCAGTAATAAATCAAATTTAACCAAATTTTTGAGAACTTTACCTTTGAGAGACTTCAACGTATTAAAAAGGGCTCAAGGATACAAGAACGAATATTTGAAAAAAGTGACTTATAGATATGCAAAATAATTCATTTCGCATTTAATATGAACATTTAAATTTAATTAATTTATTCTCATAATCCGGACAGATCAGTTTTAGAAGTTTTATGTGTATTTTTTAAATTAAAATGTTTTATGCATTATTTTATAGCGTTTTATGTAATGAGAACTAATTATTTAAATTTTTGTGATCTATTTATGTAAATTATATAATTACACCATCTTAACCTAATTCATAGTGCTAAATTGGTCAAATTGCATCTAAGAACCGATTTTACCGAGTTAAATTTCATTGGAACAGATGTATCAAGATAAGCATATAATAGTTATACGCTTACACTATGAGAATTTTTATTAATATCTTGCAAATTAGATTTCTTTAAAATGTGTTTGCAAATACAAAGCGGCGCTCTGGAACTCAACGAATCCCGTTTTCCTATTTATTAAATTATCTCAGGACCGATTAGGATCGATTAACAGCCTGGGCATAATTAAAAACATGGAATTTGATTTAATATTGAATAAAGGTATTGTATCCTATATAATTGTATTAATATTTCGGCTTGTGAAAAACAAAAATCCCGTATTAGTGGGCAATAGGTCGGAGACATGATTTTACTTAGTCGGAAATTGAATAAACTGATTATAAGCGAGTTACCATTTCAATGAATAAAATCATAAAATCTGGAATCACTTTTTCACAGAGTTTCTCTGATAGTTATTCTGATTGGCTAAAATTTAAATTTCGCATTTTGCACAATGAATTTTTAACAAGTCGTTCTTCGATTAACCGCATTTACCACTCAATTAATTGCAACATCTCGATCCCTAGCTAATCACATTGAGGGAGCTGCTTGAGAACATCCAGAGAAGGCTGTTACTAATAGTTCTAAAAAAAACACAAATTAAAAATACGTGGAGGGTCTCGAATAAAAACTTTTATTCGATTAATCGGACTAGTTCTATCTCAATATATATAGTTTAATACCTAACGTGAACAAAACTCAAAACTTGAAAACTTTATCATGTATGTTCATTGATGATTAAGAGTGCATATGTTTACAGTAAATTACGTGGTGTTAGAATCATCGTCAAAGTATCAATATTAGATCCATTTGCTTGCTACGTTTATTAATGATTAAGAGTGCATTTGTTTGTGTGGCGCCTTAAATGTTAGAGGCAAAGTAAAAGTTTTCCTTCGTATTTTTATACCATCGGAATCATCGTCAGAATTATCAAGGTATCAATATTAGTTCAATTTGCTTGTTGCATTAGCTTCAATATTTGTATAACAATTAACTAAAGTTGGGAACTAATTGACAACTTTTCAACTAATCGATTTAGAAAAAATTTAAAACAAATAATCGATTTATCAACTATAGTTGGTGATTGGCAAAAATTTTACCAACTAGGAACACTATATTCAATTGGTAGCGAATATTCTGTTACACAAACTCCGTGAATAGTTGAAGTTCTGTATGAATATTCTCTGTAAATATCCGTGTAAAATATCTGCGTGAATATTCTGCATGAATATTTCTGTGCGAATATCCGTGTAAATATCTGTGTGAATATTTTGTGCGAATAGTTGATAAATATGAGACGTGTGATTATCCGCATATCCGCGAATTATCTATGAATATCCACGAATTCTCTGAATGCCCGCAAATTTTCTATGAATATCTGCGAATTCCCTGAATATCCGTGAATTCTCTATGAATATCCATGTAAAATTATGCGCGAATGATTACAGCTGTTTTCAAAAAGGTGTGAACAACGATTTCCACATACCTATGTGGGGAATCGAAGAATTGGGAAATTATCATTAGTAAAAATTGAAGATTCGATTAGAGCTGGCTTTGAAAATTTTGGAAATCTGGGTAATTTCGTGAATTTCCCGTGATATAGTTATTTTCTTGTTCACAACTTTTTGAAAACAGCTATAAAATCCATGAATATTCATTAAATAGCTGTGATGGATGTTTAAAGGATCCCAACTCTACAATTAACTTTGCACTTAATATATCTCTTAGCAAAAATGCTAATTGTAAGCCATCTATACGGCAGGGAACTTCATGAAAGTCAAACCATTTAACTTGGCAGATATATTCGTTGGGTGGGATATCTATAGTAAAGAATTGAAATCAATTAACACCTTGCAACATATCAACAGGTTGCAATTCTCTAATGACTTGTTAATCACTTTTGCATTCCACTACAAGCTGTGCTAAAGTGTTTCTGAGTATTTTAGCCAATTTCAAGCTATCTCTAAGGTATTTTGTTCTTCCCGTCTCAATGACACCAAATTCTAACACTTCCTTCCAACCTAACTTTTCTGCCAAACATTTTTTAATCTACATA